CTTTCTTAATCTTTCTAGCCAATGATTAAATAATATTGATTTTGTTTTGTTATTTCAAATAAAAACTAACTACCATCGGTACATAGTTTAGATGATTTATTGGTAAACACATGTTACAACTTTTGTTTATCTTTTTATTGTTATCTTGCAAATACTGTCATGGCAACCAATTAGCCCATAAGGTCCATGTTCAATTTCTAAAAGTTTAAATTCGCATAGGGAAAGCCCTGTGGTCCAATTTGTACCATTTCAGATTTATACCTTCCCATGGTTGATTACTATGACTGCTAAATTTCATACAGATCGCTTCAGCCGTTTAGGAGGAGTATTTGTAAAACAAAAGCAGGAGTGTAGTATAAGAAATCGCCGTTACTGAGAGGGTGACTGATGGGATAGTGACCTTCCTAGAATAGAATTCTTATTGTTGAGATATTATATTTCATGAAGAGAAAAACATCTTAAACATCTTTGACCCAACAAGCCATAAACTTACCACACCGGGGATGTTTCAAATTATTCATACAATATTCACTTTAAATTTTTAATAATAAATTTTAAATGAACACAGCAAAGTTATTTATAAACAGTAAATTTATAACGTCTTCATAGATCTAGTCCAGTTTCTTGGTGTCCCCGCCCTGTCCAGACACGTCCAGCAGCTCAGACGCTAGTTCCTTCTTGCTTTCTTCTTCATTCTTTGTTTGAAGTTCTTTAGTTACTTCCTGCAGATCTTAGCAACACAATCTTCACAAATATATGACGATGTATCATTTGCGTTGTATGCATCGATGTAAAGGAAGTATGTAGCTATGGCTAGTAAAATAGCTATCACAGCCAACAATCCGTCGGACAAACTTACGACCAGATACATATGGAAAATTGTAAATTAATTTTATTTCTGAGAGGGAAGGTTGAACGACAACAACAACTCTTTTATTTACTTTTTTTAATACAACACATGTTAACTATTATAGAGAAAAATTTAATTTGATTGAGAACATATGTTTATACATTTAGGTAGTCAATTAAACCAAGGATTATTAAATACTAGGTGAAGCCCGTCGAAATCGACGGTTGGTTACTTTCAAGGCTTACGTCAATTCATCTAACTGCCATAAATAGAATGAAATTATAAAAACTTTAACATTTTGCTTTGTTTAGTGGGTAAGTAAGTGTAAAAATAATAATGACTATTGCGCAAGCTACAAAATATGGTTTGATTATTCAATGAATAAAATATTTCCAGTACCTCATCGCAGTTATTATTACTATGTTAATTGGTTCCATCTCTTTTTGAAGAACTTTTGTTTCCTTAGTCAATGAAGAAACGAAACGAAGAAATCGGAAGTCGGAAGGAAAAAGCGAAATGGCACACGGAAGATTTCTCAGGTGCCATTTGGTCACTATAACTGCTGACGTCACTTTGAGGGAACACCAATACCGCAACGATACGGTTTCAGCCATCGGCCTCGGTGGTGCAGTGGATAGCGTTGCGGGCTGATAAGTGATAATCTGAATGATCCGGGTTCGAATCCCGCCGGCGGCCCTAACTTTTTATCAACAATTTTTTCATATCAGCAAGTTTGGTTGGTTTGGTTAGGTTATGACAGTTTAATTTTATAATTAAAAGATTATAAAATTGAATTTTAGACAATTATAATGTTATTTTATGAACAAAACTATTTTTTAGATTAGTAAACCTTTATTCGATTTTTCCATTATCAGCACGTTTGGTTAGTTTGGTTAGGTTATGACAGTTTAATTTAATAATAGAAAATTATAAAATTGTCTGTTTCTTCAGACGCAGCAGTTAGTGACGTCAGCGGTTAGTGACCGTCGTGAAGTTAGCGGCTCATTTCATCGGCGCTTTTTCGGTTTGTAATAGATGTGGGTTGGTACGCCTGCGGATACCACAAACGTGTTTTGCAGGGATGTCGGAAAGACAATTCAATGGCAATACGGTGCGAAATGATGTTTTTATATTTATATAATGTCAATTATACATTGATAAAACGTGTATACACGTTAAAACTAATTAATTGACGTATTTTAAAAGGCATATTTGAGACCGTACTGTACATTATACGTAGCTATGGCTTGACATAACGCGATCAATTAAAACTCCGAACATTAAAAAGTGCATAATCTTTTTTCCTAAGTCCATCACATCAACTTTGAGGTATTCTAATGGTAATATACAATGTGTAGAATACTCAGTATAAATATGATTGAGGCAGTCCAGTGAATTACGAAGCTATAAGGCAAAATGTATATGGTTGATAGAAATTTGCGTCAGGAAAGAGTGTACAATCGTTTTCCTAAGCCCATCACATCAACTTTGAGTTATTCTAATGGTAATGTACAATCTGTAGAATACTCAGTATAAATATGATTGAGGCAGTCCAGTAAATTACGAAGTTATATGGCAAAATGTATATGGTTGATAGTAACTCGCATTAGAAAAAGTGCACAATCTTTTTCCTTAGCCCATCACATCAACTTTGAGGTATTCTAATGGTAATGTACAATGTGTAGAATACTCAGTATAAATATGATTGAGGCAGTCCAGTAAATTACGAAGTTATATGACAAAATGTATATGGTTGATAGTAACTCGCATTAGGAAAAACTGCACTATCTTTTTCCTAAGCCCATCACATCAACTTTGAGGTATTCTAATGGTAATATACAATGTGTAGAATACTCAGTATAAATATGATTGAGGCAGTCCAGTTAATTACGAAGCTAGACCTAAGGCAAAATCTATATGGTTGATAGGAATTTGCGTCAGGAAAAGTGCACAATCTTTTTCATAAGCCCATCACATCAATTTTGAGGTATTCTAATGGTAATGTACAATGGGTAGAATGATCAGTATGAGTATGATTGAAGCACTCCCCTAAATTACCCAGTAATATTGCAAAATGTTTATGGTTGATAGGAACTTGCATCAGGTAAAAGTGCACAATGTTGACCCTAAGCCCATCACATCAAATATGAGGTATTCTAATGGTAATATACAATGTGTAGAATGCTCAGTATAAATATGATTGAGGCAGTCCAGTAAATTACGAAGCTATAAGGCAAAATCTGTATGGTAATTCCTGACGCGAATTCCTATCAACCATATAGATTTTGCCTTATAGCTTCATAATTCACTGGACTGCCTCAATCATATTTATACTGACTATTATACACATTGTATATTACCATTAGAATACATCAAAATTGATGTGATGGGCTTAGGAAAAATATGGTTCACTTTTCCTGACGCAAATTCCTATCAACCATATAGATTTTGCCTTATAGCTTCGTAATTAACTGGACTGCCTTAATCATATTTATACTGAGTATTCTACACATTGTATATTACCATTAGAATACCTCAAAGTTGATGTGATGGGCTTAGGAAAAAGATTGTGCACTTTTTACTGATGCGAGTTCCTATCAACCATATACATTTTGCCATATAACTTCGTAATTTAATGGACTGCCGCATTCATACTCATACTGATTATTCTAAACATTGTACATTACCATTAGAATACCTCAAAGTTGACGTGATGGGCTTAGGAAAAGTATTGTGCACTTTTCCTGACGCAAATTCCATCAACCATATAGATTTTGCCTTATAGCTTCATAATTCACTGGACTGCCTCAATCATATTTATACTGAGTATTCTACACATTGTATATTACCATTAGAATACCTCAAAGTTGATGTGATGGGCTTAGGAAAAAGATTGTGCACTTTTCCTGACGCAAATTCTTATCAACCATATACATTTTGCCATATAACTTCGTAATTTACTGGACTGCCGCAATCATACTCATACTGATTATTCTAAACATAGTATATTACCATTAGAATACCTCAAAGTTGATGTAATGGGCTTAGAAAAAAAAATTGTGCACTTTTCTTGACGCAAATTCCTATCAACCATATAGATTTTGCCTTATAGCTTCGTAATTCACTGGACTGCCTCAATCATATTTATACTGAGTATTCTACACATTGTATATTACCATTAGAATACACCAAAATTGATGTGATTGGCTTAGGAAAAAGATTGTGCACTTTTCCTGACGCAAATTCCTATCAACCATATAGATTTTGCCTTATAGCTTCGTAATTAACTGGACTGCCTCAATCATATTTATACTGAGTATTCTACACATTGTATATTACCATTAGAATACCTCTAAGTTGATGTGATGGGCTTAGGAAAAAGATTGTGCACTTTTTCTTAATGCGAGTTACTATCAACCATATACATTTTGTCTTATAGCTTCTTAATTCACTGGACTGCCTCAATCATATTTATACTGAGTATTCTACACATTGTATATTACCATTAGAATACCTCAAATTTGATGTGATGGGCTCAGGGTCAACATTGTGCACTTTTTCCTGATGCAAGTTCCTATAAACCATATACATTTTGCCATATAACTTCGTAATTTAGGGGACTGCCTCAATCATATTCATACTGAGTATTCTACACATTGTATATTACCATTATAATAGCTTAAAGGTGGTGTGATGGGCTTAGGAAAAAGATTATGCACTTTTATATGTTTGGAGTTTTAATTGATTGCGGTATGATAAGCCATAGCTACGTATAATGTACAGTACGGTCTCAAATATGCCTTTTAAAATACACCAATTAATTAGTTTTATCGTGTATACACGTTTTATCAAGGTATGATTGACATTATATAAATGTAAAAACATCATTTCGCACCGTATTGTCATTGAATTGTGTTTCCGACAGCCCTGAAAAACACGTTTTAGGCGCCCACAGGCGTACCAACCCACATCTATTACAAACCGAAAAAGCGCCGATGAAAAGAGCCGCTAACTTCACGACGGTACGTCAAACGGCACCTAGAAATCTTCCGTGTGCCCCACCGAAGGAAAACAAAAAGTGTAGTTGTGTTGTTGTGTTGTGTAGTTAGTTAGGTTAGGAATTAAAAAAAGAAGTAGCCTAGTTCAGTAGTTGTAGTATTCAAGCATTTATTTAAAAAGAAGACTTACATACTTATTTAACATTTCAAGTCTAAGGGCTTGGTATGAAGACAAATCGATCATGGTCAATGTTATGAAAGGAGTCCTTGTTGAATGGTAGGTACGTTTTTTTACACATTAGCTTGACGCCAGAAAGTAGAAAGAGTAACAGACATATTAAGTCACTGCCCTAGTCCTATTACCCTAACCTGTGGGCCAGCTTTGCCTTTTGGGCAAGGTTATTACATTTAACATCCCCACAGACCATTCTTTATTACGTTTTTCTGATCAATTAGGGTCTAAATAATATTTACATGAAATTGCAATAAAGATTCAATAACTTACGGTACTTGTGTACCTATTTTATTTGGCAGAGGATACACGACCGGTAACCCGGTTCAATTAGGCATCTGGAAGTTTATATAATAAACTAACCAAACTTACTTATAGATAATGAAATAAATTGAATGAAGGTTAAATTCTGTTCATACAGAAAAATGATTTTTGCCATAAATTCTAACAAATTATTTACAGTTATAAGAAGAAATCGCATCCTAAGCAAAATCTTTGACAAAATTTTGTGTCACTGACGGGATTCGATCTTCCCTCCGAGTGTTATTTGTCGCTGCAGCGACTCACAAACACTGTTTACGGCGAAGGCTCTATGACTGACAAAATCGGATTGAACTGGATCGAGTTAGGTATCGTTTTATTTTACAGATTCAGAGCTTTCACCGGAGGTCTGTCTCTAAGCTCTATTCATTTTAGTTCCGAAAATATTGTAGCAGACAGCTGACGTGCGTATTTGTAAACAGCTTGGTTATCCTCGGACCGATGTGTTTTATTACGTTTATCATTGTTTTAGTGTTAAAAATCAAAAGTAGTGATATACGTGGTGCATTATAAGAAGATTTAAGTGATTTTGAAGGGCTGGTTGATGATCCTGAAGAAGTAGGTAGTGATATTGATGTAAATTATCAGCCAGATTCCTAGCTATGGTTAGGCTATGCATTCTTAGCTAAACGCTATGTACTGAAATCTGTTTTTTGCCCATAACTTATTTATTTGCAAATCTACTTCCTTATATTATTATATATTTGTAATCCTCATAAAATTTAGAACAAAGTGGCTATTTTCAAATATTTATAGGACTATAAATTTTATACAATTTCATTGAGCGCAAACTTATTTTTTTTGGAAAATTTTCCAAAATTTTTTTTTACCTAAAAATTTTTTTTGAAACAAATGTTCCTTATGTTCTATGTATAATATTGAAGCCCATGATTTTCCAAACAAAATGGTATATAGAACAGTACCTATAATTAACATTGTTTTCAAGCTTCTCAGATCCGTTTTAATAAAACCTTGCAAATGAGCAAAAAATAGGCAGACATTAAGGCCAAAACAAGGGACACTCGGAGGGTTAATATAGCTAGGACCTACCTCTTGGACATCAACCTAGTACCAGGGCCGATTTACCAAATAGGCACGGTAGGCATGAGGCAATTGGCTATTTTGGGAGGCGCCAAATAATTGGAAAGTAAAATATTTTGTGGTTATATTGGCATACGATCGCGTTAAAACTCTGATAAACCCTCCCATAGCCTAATCATAGTTGGGAAAGTTAGTCAAAATTTTGGCAAATATTTACCGTATTGACATTGGGATATGATGTAATTTTTATATATGTCTACTTACAGTATTTTTAACGCTGAATCCAAAAATGCAATCAGTTTTTGTCGGAGAGATTCCTAAGTGGCCGTAAAACGAAGGTTAGGATTACAAATCTAAGGATGATTGAGCGGTGATTGAAGGTGGTAGGCTAATGGTAATATGGCGTGGTCTGGACGGGTTCGTACTGAGTGAAGAGTGAGGAGTGAGGACTGAGTGAGAAGAGCAAACAACTGTTTATACTTGGTCTAATGCGGAATGAAATCAAATCAATTCATTTTGAAACCAAATAATCAGTTCTTATTTAGGCATGTGAGGAAGGTAGGTCGGGTTTTATGCGGATTCGTGACTGTATTAAGTGTTTTGAAGTGAGGATAGATTAGGAAGGTAAAGGTTAGGTTATAATGAACCGACTCATTAATTTATGCAACTTCCAGACTGTTTTTGCACAATTAAATAGTGGGTGAAACACAATGAAATAACGATATCAAAAATGTGCAAGCGGTAGTCACCTTCTTGAGGAGGAACTTTATCAGCTTCTTGAATATTGAAGGTCTCTGAACAACTGATTGGGGTGTGCAATAATTTGATAAATCCGGATGAAGTGCTTTGAGGCTTCAGTATGCCCCTTCAAGATAAGGTGAGACCTTAAGGAGATAAAATAAAACTTGAAAAAGTAACGGTTTTAGAATTTTGAATAAAAGCTTGGACAAAAATTTGAGGGTCAAATTTTGAAAATATTACATTTTTGAAGTAAATGTCACAATTAATTATTTGTTTACTAAATGGCCTTAAATTTTCTGAAAATTTAATGCTGGGCCTATTACTGCAGCAATCCCATTCCAAATGTTAATGATACCTGAAGCTCTTAATCTATTTTTCGGCAAACATGATAATGGGGCCCCACAGAATACAATGTTTTTAATCATCTTACTTTTTGGTTCAATAGGACAATGAAATTGAACCACCACGAACACTCAAACTTTTTTATTTGATCTTACAAGCAACTTTTATTGACCACACGAGGAACAAACAAACATAACAAAAACCTTAACACAATTTACATCTTACTGTCAACACTAGGAACTTATTGACTCTACTTGGTTTGACATTTTTTACAATTAACTCAATCAAGGTAATCGAGGTCTGCTGGAATACCAAATGACTTGTTTAGGGTTGTTTCTTCTATACTAAATTTTTCTTTGCACCATGACTTTAGTTGAAAAATGTTATCCGTCCATCTGTTGATTGCTTCCTTTAGAGCCTGAAACATCATTCACAGATTAATTAGTTATAAGATGATCAAATTTTAATTTTTTTGGAAGTTTATTGACAAACTCCCAAATGAGAGCCAAAAAACCCTGAAGATAGCACTCTGTATCAAGGTTAGACTTATCAATTATCAATCAATGAGATGGGGACACCACCTAAGTGCGTATTTTAACCCAAATATGAGTGAAGGATGAGTGTAGAATGGTGTGTAATGACCTGTGTAGCTTTGTTACTGACTAAAGTCCCCCATACACGGGCAAGCATGCTCGGCGTTGGCAACAGACGGACGAGCATGCTCGCGAACATGCTTGGCGTTTCCAAGAGACGGACGAGCATGCTCGCGAACATGTTCGTCGCTCGGTAGCGGTTCCTAGGCCTATTCTTGCTTCTCTTGTGCTCTGTGACAGTCAAGTTGTGTGTAAGCCTATTTAGCCTACTCCTGCTTTTTTGCTGCAATTACAGAATTTAGTTTTTTTTGCAACATACGCATTATTTCTTAGACATAAATCAGGGGCGATTTATTTTTAGCCGATTTTGTAATCGGCCGATATCGGCCGTTTGTGCCAGGCCTTAAGTTATTGGATTAAATTCATCCGTCATGGTTTGAAAATAATGTTGGTTAAAATTCCATAGTTGTGCAATAACATTTCTCGTAGTTTTGCTTATTCTAGCCTTTCTTAGAATTATTTAATTGTGACAAATTACTACAGAATTGATTGTACACATTTGTGTATTAATATACATGAACCCTCTATTTTGGAAACCCATTTAAATTTGTATTTATTGCGTTACAAACACAAATAAATATTTATTTAGCTTCTGTAAACATTGATTCTAAATCTATTACTGTAACTGGAATACATCAGAGTATCAACACCATGATGATTTACAAGTGCAATCCGTCTATTGCGGCTACTTTGTAATGGCGGTAACAAAGTAATCGTTTGGAACTGGAACGGTTACTTGTAATGAGTCCACGAGTGTAACTGGAATCATAGTAGCGGCTACATGGATGGAATCATTTAGCCTATCTCTACCCATGTTGCAGCGGCGAACATGCTCTCGAACATATGGTCGTCCCCACAGACGGGCAAGCATGTTCGTGTTCGGGCTCGTCAAGTCCGACGAGCCGAGCGCCGAGCCCAACATGCTCGCTGCGACGGATCCCACACACGGGCGAGCATGTTCGTCGCCAACACCGTCACGAGCATGCTCGCGAACATGCTCGCCCGTGTATGGGGGGCTTAAGATCAGGGGTTTCATTAGTCAGGATCGTTTATTTAAAGCCCAATGATAAGGAACAGCTGGGTCCAGTTTTGAACCATCAAAAAGCTACTGACTTTTCTTAGGATCGAACCGGCAACCTTTTGATTACTGGGCGAGCACTATAACCACTCAGCTACCCAGCCAATTTGATGTAGTGTGATCCTCTTTCTACACTAGGGTAAGAGTTGTCTGTTGTTCAACGAAGACCACTCATTGAACTAGACTATGGTTTTGGAAACCTGTCTATGTGGTGGTGATTTTAGATAAAAATACCCCCGCCACAGCAAACCTGCAGACTAAGCAAATTTCCATTTACCTTATTTGATTTTCAATTAAATCTATTTAAATAAAATTAAAATTAGGTTTAACAATCTAGGTTTGCTGCTGCAGGGAGGGTAATAAAGTGTGTTTTTTTAGTAACATATGAATAGTTTAGTATAAAATAAATACATTTGCCAAGTTTGATCAAAATATATCCATAAACAAGCAAACCACAGCAGTTTACTTATTCTCCGTAAGAATAACATGAGAATTTTAAATTAAGAATCTATTAAATTTTCTTTGTAACCAATAACCGGAAAAAAACACTTCAATATACTAAATCATTTGTTTTTTTTAAGCTCTTTAAAAGGTTTACCTACACCTTCAAGCCAAATTTAATTTCACAAAGTGAAAAAAGTGTACAATTTTTACGCTACAATTTTTTACAATTTTTTGGCTACTACGCCGGTAGCACAGGTCTTTCGAAGCTGCAAACTTGGTTTCTTACTTGGGTGGTATAGGACCTAACAAACAACAGTAACAACATACTAAAAAACCAGAACTACATGACCTTTTGCACACACGGATGTTTTACTTGACTGGACTATAATAGTACGAGTTGTATATTAAATAACAGTATTTATTTTATGAATAAAATGAAAGCTATATATATCCTTTTTTTAGAATAGTCATTGTCATTCATTATATGTTTACGAGTTTCCCGTAAAATATTCGTTTGCGGTTTGCCGATAACATTGTTAAATTATTTACCTTCCAAAGCCGCAGCGGGCCCCTAGCCACGGCACCCAGGGCGGTCGCCCCGCTCCGCCCTCAGGGTGGCCCTGTCTCTAGGGACATCAAAATGAAATAGTATATCATTCCCGGGTCTACCGTGCCACCTACGGTAATAGCTATTTCCCTATAGGGAAGTTCGCTTAAAACTAACTGGAAAAGGTTTTGCCTACCTTGATGTCAGTTTTCATCTGCTCCAACACCTCTGGATCGGAGTCTTTATACTTTTGTATTTCTAAAATCAGCTTGTTCTCTTCTCCTTTCAATAGTTCAATCTTTTTAATCAACTCCTGCCTGGCACTTGTGTCTTCTCGTCCAACCTTGAGTATACAATAAACTAAATAAAAGAAGTATTTCAATGCCCTAATGAAGTTGTTTTACAGAAAAACCAAACTTTTATTTTAAGTTTGTTTGCTCAAATAAAATTACTATAATCGAGGGCTATTCAAATTACATTTACTGAGTAGGGGGTTCTAAAAAATGTTACGCATACGCACTGAATGTAATGACTTATGTAATGAATGTTACGTAATGCAATTGGTTTCTGGAGCTGAGATATAAGACTGCACAAAATGCACAGACTGCAAAACACTGTTTATTGAAGTATGATGATAATAATACTGTATACATGATAATGAATAAATGAAAATGTGTAACTTGAAACTTCTAATGTAAACTTGATTGTGATAGGCCTATGTGAAAAATGATGAATGGAATTGAAATACTTGAAAATGACATCTGACACAATCGAATGTTGGTGCCTTACTGACCTGTGCCACTCGCACCCCTTAAGCCCAGGGGACGGGGACGACACTTGTCTTTTGGCGCCAAGAAAAATAAAAGGTTTGTTCTCCCAACCTGAGAGACATTTTTCAGAAAGGTGAATGAGCTTAAGGGTGGCTCCAAAGTGTGATCAGATAATTTAAAGGCCGTTGGTAATATGTAGGATTTGAACCCGGACAAAATTCAATAGCCTACACTAGCTGAATTTGAGAATGTTAAACGTGAAATGACCAATGGACATTCTAGTTAGCTGTGTATAATGGGAAATAACGTGAGGGTATTAAATAGAGTACTTGCAAACAAGTCAACATACCTTGGCATCTATTATACTGTCTTTTGCGACTTTAAGTCGCTTCACAGCTCCTTCTAGCTTCTCAGATGCATCAGCCAGTTTCCTTTTTCTTGTGTGTTTAGCTTTGCTACAACATGCTCGATAGTTACAAGTAAATAGCATTTAGTAAGGTTTAGTGCTAGGTAAACTACTCTAAAAAAATATATATAAAATAAAAAGTTCTGCTATAGTCAGAGAATGTCAGGAAAACCTTTTAAAAAAACTTTCCTTGTTTCACAAATTTGATAACTATTCTTAAACTTAAAAATTAAAAAGCATACTTTTTGTTAACCTTAATGGAACGTGAATATTCAGTGTGGCAGATTGGGTTTAATCATACTAATATTAGAAATGTGAAAGTTGGTGTGTTTGTTTTAAGTTCAATCACACATTAACTACCGGTCGGATTCAGCTAATACGGACAAGTGAAGTGGCCCAAGGGACTTTAAAAAAAATGTAAGGCCAGTTCAACTACACAAGTTGGTTCTATGATATTCATTAGCATTAAAAAGTTATAGGGTTTACCAATAGGGTGCAGAACTATTATTTTCATTCATTTATGACAACAGCTAATTTGAGCCAAGCAGCAACAAAAGGCTGTGATAAACAATGGGAACTGACATAATAGGATTGTTTCCAGTTATGCTTATGTTTTTGATTTATAAATAATTTGTGATATTGTTTGAATATTTGGTAATTTAAATTTTCCTGTTAATTAGGTGCAGTGGTAGAACATTATTATGGCTGTGGTAGATGTGTTATACAATAGCATACAGTGAACCAAATTTTCTCATACCTTGTCCTCCCCCATTGCAAACACAAAACACGAGTATGACTACAATAAGCATTTTATACTTATACGGCAACCCCGTACGAAGGACGGGTACTTTGCTAGTTAGGCTAGTTACAGTCTTTGAAAATCCTAATTAATTAATTAAGCACTACGGCTGTTTCGGAGATAACTCCATAGTTGGTCGTCAGTTTTTAGCCGTGCACGTGCTGACTTCATGTTTTCATTCTCTGTCGTGTGTTGTATGTATTATATATTTGACGCAATGGAAAGGAAGAAACCATGTAAAAAATGTAAATATGTAAATAGTGACTCAGTTTAGTGTATGATGACGGACGATGGAGTTATCTCTGAAACAGTCATAGTGCTTAATTAATCAGGATAGCGAAGACTGTAAGTAGCCTTTATATTAAAGGCAAATTACATCTTTAAATTATATATTCTATGTAAAGCTTATTTCATGAAGTTTTGTAGAACCCCGAACAATGATTTTTGTGTACACTAGACATCTTACTGCAATGTTGTATTACGTTTTAGCCACTAATAAGCTTTTTAACATGATCTATATAGCTTGAAAATTAATTCAACAGTTTAAATATTTTAATTAATTGCAGTGAAATACGGCTCCCACAGCCAAAAATATAGTTTACTCTTAATTGTCATTTATTTAACACTACGGTGGAAAAATAGTGAGAACAGGTCAAAATAAATAGGTTTGACTTTTCAACTATTAGGTGCATATTGAAGCCAGGGTTGCCATCCTAGGTTAGGGAAAAATCAGGACATGGCATCCCCCCCCCCCGGATTAACATAGGCTTAAATACGGGCATAACATAAGGAACCAAAATCGGGACTGTCTTGACAGAATCGGGACGGGTGGCAACCCTAAGTTGAACCACCCACAAACATGAGAAACATCTGTAAGGCCTACAGTATAATCTATTTTTTTACCTTGGGAATGACCAGAAATATATTGAAGTACCGATTTTGTCTGTGTCCACCAAACCATCGTCAACTAAACTTTGAACAACATCTTTGACTGACTGGGCAATTATTCCTTTTTCTTTTGGAGCAATCTTTTCTAATTCCTGGAAATATTTTATTGGATAAATGAGAAGAAAAGATAAATTTACTCTTGCTGCTCCCTCAAAGTAGACTCCCTCCGCTTTATCGTTTGTTCTCTCAGAACGGAATCTGTCATTGCTCTGCTTCATGGGCATCCTATCTCTTGATACTACTGTGTACTAACCTTTAATTAATTCTGCTGTTAAATCATGTACAGTTAGAGTTGGTCAATGTTTTTGTGTTTTACAACACTCAATATTATGTTACTTGACTATTTCAGTTCAATAGGAAATAAAGCTGAATTTCTATTAGGCCTATCATGAACAGTATTTATTTTATATTTAAATTATTTTATCAAAATGCACATAGGTAACTTAGTTGGTACTGTACAAACTGATGTGGTTTTGCATTCCTTCACAGAGAATTCAATTATTTAAAATGATCTAGATATTCTTGAATGTTATGAATATTGTGATGAGGATGAGGTATTCTTAAACGACTCCTCTGATACTAGGCCGCAGCGAGACAAATGGCAAACAAAAATAGCTTTTGCACTAATTTAATTTACAGTGGAGCAAATGCATAATGTTTATTTTTATAAGTTTCTTATTACCATGGTATTAGGCATTGCCACACACACGCTTAGGTCTTGAATTAGAGGACGCTATGGCATATCTCATCAGATAGGTAATCAATAGGTGTTTGTCTTTTTATTGATACAACACTTGTGGTATATGATATAATTTTCATTAATTTTTAGCCTTTTATTTAACTTTATCTAGCAAGATAAAAATAACCAAAACTAATTTAGGCTAAATTATTGGTTATTTCAAACCAAATTTTATTGAAACGTAAATGATACAAAGCTAACAAGCTGGTCTGAGAAATCAAATATTCAGTTCATTTAGACTGGCCTGTATTAATTTGTTATCAAGATGGGATTGAAAGTGTCTACTGCAACGATTTTTATTACTGCTAGACAAAGTCTGACCTTCAGAGAGAAAAACTCTTTTTTCTCATAGAATAATTGTAGCATGCGTGTCCTTTTCTCTTCAGCACTGACTCCTTTCCGTTTTGACATTTTCTGAAACAAAGCAAATACCCAATTTTATTTATTTATCAATCAATCGATCAATCAAATTTATTTATTGAGATTTCTTTAAGAATATACATGGATTGTAATTTGAATTTTCATCTTGCTTAACAATATTTATCAAAGAATTCCTTTAGGCTGTGGCCACACGGGAGTTTTTCCACGCACAAACACAGCGTGAAAACACGCGAGAAATTAGAGTAACATTTAAACGAATAGGCCTCCGCTACTGCAGGCACTCCCCATTTCATTTAACGCTGCTCATATTTTTCGCGTATTTTCACGCTGCGTTTGTGCGTGAAAAAATGCCCGTGTGGCCCCAGCCTTAGTGAGTAGAATGGTTGATCCATTAACAAGTCTTTGAGTTTCCTCTTCAGGTCTTGATTTCTTAAGATCTTCAAGTGGTTGGGCAGGCTATTGAAGACCTTTCGTCCCATGTAGGTAGGCTTCCTGCTGTATTGAGTTGTATGGTGAGCTGGGAGAAGGTAGTCTGTAGCTCTTCGAGTGTTGTGGGAGTGAGAATCTTTTCCTCTTGCAAGCTCACTCTGTTCAATATAGTTAATCACTGCAAGGATGTATAGTGATATCACAGTCATGATTTTAGTGATTTATAAGCTTCCCTGCAGCTTTCTGTAAAGCTGAGTTCAGCTAGCGTTCTTATAGCTTTTTTCTGAAGTCGCAGTATTCTTTTACAACCTTAAGGTTCTGCTCTGTGGTTCCACCCCAGACCATTAAACCATATCTTATGTGGGACTCTACTAAGGCATAATATGCAGTATTAGCTGCTTACTGTCCTCCTATCCATTTAATTCCACGCATTACATAAATTCCTGATCGTACATAAAATCAAAGCTAATATGATTCTTTACTTTGTTTTTTCAGTGACCATGCTATGAAACAATTTCTGCTGCATTTGGACGAAACAGTTGCTCTCGGAAGAAAATTTATTATTCAGGATTTGGATGAAACTCACTTGTTCATCTCTGCAGATATATTGGATGTATTGCAAGCAAGGGTGGACGACTTGATGGACCAGATCAGCTTCCCATTGGTCGAGAAATAAGAAGTGAATATGACTAGCCAGGTAGCAAAAGGAGATCGTGTGTCAGGACGCATCAAGGATGCTAACCAGCGACGGGTGTTGGACGAAGCAACACGACGGCGTCGCGCTCGGAAAGCTCTTGAGGCACTTGAGCAAGACAACTACCATGATGATCCTCATGCTGATCTTGGTAAGCCTCTCAAAATAAATAAGAACATTATTTAGAAACGTCCGTTCTAAGATAAGTAAACATCGCCCTAGTAGTTTGAAGTAAATTTAATGTAACCTAACTCAATGCACGCAAGTCACGCAGCATTTTGACTAGCGCATGTTGAAGCCCAGAACATGCAACACTTGCACTACGCAGTCACCAAGATCGTCGATGGTAGCAACTACCCTACATTAAATACTTCAAGGGGATTTTAAATTTCCCCTATTTAAATGGCTTTATATTTTAAAAGTTTTAAATCTTCAGTTTTTTTTCTTAATTTTCTCTGTTATTATTAAGGTTACTAGTATACCAGCTTTTGTATACTACTGTTTTTTAGATTTAAAATGATTTTAAGAAAAATTGTATCATGTTATTTAGGGCCAAAAATGAGAAAACATTTATCTAATTATAAAGCTTTTTTCTGATAGTTTGATCATGTCTTTTCGCATCGTTAATATCATACATCACAGATAATTCGGGTACAGAATCAATCAGAGGCTCCCTTCTTGCCATCTATCACTTTATTGCGTGGCGTGTGTCGAAAAATCTGTGTCTGTACTACAAACCGAGACATGCCGACCCACGCCTGGGTCTCAGCTTACACAGCGTCGTAAGGAAACATGGTGACACAGCATTTGGTGTGTGCTGCGTTGCGCTGCGTGCGTCCCAGCATAAGCCCGGCCTAAATATTTGCAAATAGAAGCCTGTTACCCAGCTGACATAGTTTGAATTGCTTTATCATTTATTAATTAATTTTCAGGTATCTTTTGTGGTTTAAAACTAAGAAATACTGCCGGATTAGTCAAAGGGAATGTTCGTACTAACAAAAATATACCCTATAGAACATCTAGCCCTCCTAAATAGTTTTTTAAAGCTAAAGGTGGTGAAAGGAAAATGTAAAAATATACATATAAATAACTGTATTTAGCCTATTTAATTCTGTCGGCTTTATGAATTGTTACTGTAGTTTTTATGACTTTAACCTAACCAGGATAAAAGTAGTTAATGTCCATTATTCCAATTTTTATACTGCTTTCCTAAACTTCTTGAGGATTATTAAATTTAATAAGCTAAGTGTTTGATGTGTCAGTGGCATGACGTTATGTCAAACCATGGCAGCAATGTCTTGGATTTGTATCCCAGTAGACCTACCCCCACCTAAACTAGAATTTATCATTGCAAATTTATAATGGAAAATATTACCAGTTTTTTTTATATTACATTTTAAATTATTAATAAAACACAACATTTAATGTTTTAGTGATGAGTAAGAAAGCACCGAAATTCCAAGAAACATTAGAATCAAGAGGAAGAAAGAAAAAGACTAGAAGCGCTGAATATTACAAGCAAAGGTAAATCGAAGTATACAAGCAGTGACATAAAATTAAGGCTAAAAATCTGTGAGTTTATGACGTTTGACTGTATTTTAGGAAAACAAATTGAACTTTATTTAAGGCCTAGTATTAGAGGAGGCTATGGTAGTGGAAGTAAAATAGGCTAGCTATTATCCTACTAAGGAAAACATAGCTAGAGTCAAGGAGGACATTAGGTGCACATTTAAATAGCTATAAATTTGTATGCTAAATTCGCCACAGAAAATATTCCCAATTAACAAACATATATCATAATTATTAACATTTTTTTTTGTTTATCATTGTTTTAATTGTATATGTCAGTAAAAATAAACCCCTTTATTGACTTTTTGTTGTTTTAGACAGAATGAAATATGAATGATTTTCAGTGATAAAATATGAAATTATTATTTCTTTTTGTGGAAGAATGCAGATTGCATTGTGACAAAAAAATATAGTTTATCACTCAGGCAAAAAGTGTCTTTCGACCTTCACTCATTTTCCAACTTCATGTTTAAGTTGAGCTAGAGCAAGGCCCCACTATAAAAACAGGCCATGCTGTAGGATCCATTACGTCACACTAGTGGATAGATTTCATTGATAAATTCATTGCGATCGCCATTCCCATATGTTTTAGGTAAATAAACAAGCTGGCCGTTCGTAAGATTTTAATGGTAAGAGTTTAGTACAACTATCCACCACTGTGACGTAGTGTTGTACTGCCCGTGCTGGAGCATGGCCTGTTTTTTTCTAATGGGGACTTGGCTTGAGCTGTAAAGAATTACTTAAGGCCCTAGTGACAAAATTTAGGTTATTAGTTATCTTACACATGGGTGTAAATTATTTTTGTTCATGATATACTATTCCACACGATAGGGCCATGAGGTCTTAAGTTTGCCGGAAAGAAGTATTTTCATTTATTATTATGTTATTTCTTGTGTCAAAATCTAACATCATTGCCTTTAGGTTCCGGAAGACCCTAATGCAGCTAGTGGAGGAGGACCGAGCCTACCACCCTGACCCACCAAACTACATGTCTGCGCAGGCCATGCCGTCCCAACTGCCTGAGCGACACTTCTGCGCGGTCTGCGGATTCCCTAGCAACTACACTTGTATACCTTGTGGAGCCAGATACTGCTGTACTCGCTGTCTAGGCACACATCTAGATACCCGGTGCCTCAAGTGGACTGCTTAAAAAAACTGTTAAAAATATTTTAGACTCTTTTTCAATATATTAGATATTTAAATAGTTTTTTTAACAAATTTAAATAATTAACTTTTGTAAGTGTTTGAATAGATAATGAAAAGTTAATTAAAAGTGAATAGATGGTGTAAATATTTATGGCCTTAGTTTTAAATTTATTAAATGGCGAATGTTACTGGACGTACCCTTTTTTATGTTTCAATGAAAATACTGTCATTTTTACCAGTTTGTAGGTTTGTGTTGGTCATCTAATAAAATGTAAAAAATACTTTTAATTATTGTTATTGCAGTACTCTGTAAGAAAATCTGGATAAGAAAATGGTCTGATGGGAAGTCATTATGAAAAAAAAAACTTGTTGATAGAGCAAAGAAATCAACCTTTAAATAGTTGTTGTAGCTTTTTATATCATCCATTCCAATATTAGTTGTTTTTGTTCATGTAAATGTGCTTGGAATAAAAAACCTACTAAACAATCATTATTAGTCTACACCCTATACAGGGTGTTCGAAAAAGGTGGGAACATAATTTACGTAGTGATTCCTTGGGTCAAAATAAAGAGAAAATCAAGAATAATGGTTTTTCATAAATCACTTCGTTAACCAGATATCCGCCTTTTTATCTTTGAATTTTTTTAACCGAACTTTATGAAATTTGGTATGTATGTAAGGTAGAAGAGACCCATGTCTTGATTCAACTTTAATAGCAGCCATTTTAATGTTTTTAACTTATATTTCTAAAATAAATAAATAAAATGTCTTTATTAGCCAGTGTTTCTCTGATACATATAAGTTTTTCAGAACAACTTTTGTAATGTAACTACTGTACTTATAACTAAAAACTTATATATTTTAAGAACTTTTTAAACCTTAGGTATTGCTGGATGCAATGGTTTTTAGGCTCTCGGGTAGTCCGTTGTACAATGTGGGTCCAAAATAAGAGAAACTTTTCTTTCCCAATTTCAAGGTGACCCTTGGAAAGTGAAGCCCCCCACCATGACGTGTTCTACATGATCCCAAACAAACAGAAAGCCTCTTGCAAAGATAGTTGGGCTCATGGAGAGTCAGTACCCGATGGGGTAGAATTAGGCTAGGCTAGTCAGGTTTGCCCCAACAAGAAAAAAAGAATAAATATGTTTTCTGGCGTTTCTACTTCCATACTTCGTCACGTAGAATAATATAATTATGGGAGAATGGGAAAGAGCGGACCGCATTTGTTTGTTGTACGGTGAACTGCCGTCCTACTTCAGTGTGAACTGCAAGGCGGGAAATTTTTTGGTGGGACGGCCGACAGTTATCAGGGCTGCAGCGCTTTTGTCTTTTATCTGATCAAAAGTGAGTAGTAGTAGTGACCACGAGGCGCCCAACCCGCCATAACCTGGTCACAGACTGCTTTATCTTATATTAGGCTATTGCTTCTGAAGTTTTTAGTCATTTTTGTGTCGTTATTGATTTTAATAGACAATAGCCTACGGATCGTGTGCTCAAAGGTCGGCCTCTTTGCTGCACTATGTATAAAAAAGGGAACCCGTAAAAAAATTATTAAACACTGTTGTACCGGTTCAAACTATGTACATACTAATATATGTATGGTACATCACGCTTAAGATGATGCTGCAAACTACTTTTTGTTACAGGCCTATGTCTATTTTTTGTAAGTAAATTAATTTTTTTAGGCTTAAGCGTTTTCAGTTGTGCTGCGACCTTGAAGATAGTACCATAAGACTAATGTTAAACTTGTGACCGCTTAACGAGTTCCCAGGTGGTTCAAAAAATATAATTTTGCTGACAAATTAAAGGTAGCCTATTGACTGTTCTCTAAGGAAATGCCTTTTTATTTTTTTGAAAACACTTAACTTAAATTTTTTGTAAAAAAATTGTAAACTTAGCAAAAAAGTGTTAAGTTTATCAATTTGTTTACAGATAATTAGAGTTTGTTTAAAAAAAAATCAAAATGCATTTCCCTAGAGAACAGTTGTACCTTTATTTTGACAACAAAATTATATCGCGGCATGCTAACTTACCTAAAAAAAATCTATGAGATATTTGTAAAAAACTTGCTAAAACATGGAAAACTTACCATTTTGCATCTAAAATTAAAAAAAAAAATCCGCAAGTACTATTTGCCAAGGGCATACTCTAGCTACATCCTTGTCTACAGGTCCCAAACATCAGAAGTTAATACAAAATTGAATGGGTAAGTTACAATGTAAATATAAAACCACAAACAAACTTATGTGTGAAAAATAGTAAACTGTAATGACTTAATATACCAATCAGGAAATAACAAAGTTTGGTAGCATTTGAAGTTTAACCAGCCTACATAACCTACAGAACAACAATAGACTCTAGAATGTGGTTATTATTTTTTTTGTGATTATAACCAAAACGACTTGTGAATGCATTAGTTATAGTCCTCGCCACCCTAAGTTGAGGCAGCGCAAGGCCGCACGGCGTACATCTAGTACGGCCTTTGGCTGTCTCAACTTAATGTAGGGTGGCGAGGACTATAGTAGGCCATGCAGCCAGGCCTTCCTAAATCCAAACCTAACATATCCGAACAAGAACATTTTCACCAGAATCAAACGTCATTTACCTGTAGGTTCCAGGAAAGTAGGGAAATGACTATTTTTACCATTAAGTCATATTATGAACATCAGTCCAAGGCCGTTTCTCAGATTCAAATCCCAAAGAATATTAATACCCTAATATGTTGGGAACATCAGAACATTTTCTTATACGGGTAACACATCTACGCACTATACCGCTAAAGGAGAAACAGTAAAATGAAATAGTACAAGCAAAATAATAAAGTCTCTACACCTTATTGTGTGGTAAGTGGTAAGGTGGTCTTAACATAGCAACTTAGGTTTAGGCCTAGTAGATAGCAACCTGAAACCGACAAGAACAAAAAATCCTGTTGAACCGTAAACTGCTTTGAAGATGGCTGTCTGCAACAAGGCTGAACATTAGCTATTGTAATAAGTTTCTGTACCTGCAGTTGTACGCAGAAAACCTATACTGTAAGCTTGGTGTATTGTGTTAGAAACTGTTTAAGCCTTACTTATCTTACTTCTTAACAGTGCTGTTGAGAGGCAGAGCAGCTCTTTTTAGTATTATTAGGCTATGTCTTTAACGATGCACTCTTGTGTCTCAGTGTTGCAATGCAATGACAAGACCTATAATGTTAAAACTGTTTTATATCCTATGTTAGAACCGTTCCTGTCACATAGCCTAGGCTAGGCCTATTCAACCATCAAGTGTCCTACTTTGAAAATGCTAGGCAAAGTTTGATAGCAAGACTCCAACTGGTATGTTAACAGAATTAGCAATGAATATGCATTGTTCAACCCTAAGTTTAATAAGGTTTGTACGGCACTGTCTACCTTGCCAGGAATAGTTAACTACTAACTTAGGCCTAACAACTAAACTAGCCCTTTTCACTGAATCCTATCATAAAATAATTTAACAATATTGTAATTACCGTACAAAGTTTTGAAGTACACTAAATCTACAAGAACTTTAAGCAATGATTTCCGGCATGTAACGTTGAAATAATATCATTATTTGTTAATCAAACATAGGCAATTAATCGAAAAACGTGTACATAAGTAACCTCATCCAGTCATCACACCCTTTTCTTTTTTCTTTATAATTTCTTGCTGATTTGCTTATTTATTTACGAAATTCCCGCCAGCTCCCAGTCCAAGTACAGTATGAAACCTTTTTTTGACTAAATTGTAAGCAATTTTAGCTTAAACTGATTTGGTGCCATGCAGCTCGTCTCCTGTTTTAAAATTGTGTTATTGACAATTATTGGGCATTATTTTTATATGACAATCAGTGAGCATAAAAACATAAATTCCCATTGTATGCATCCATCGAAGCATCCATAATCCAATCATCATATTGTAACCATCCACTTATTGTAGCTTAGCTATTAGCTATCCTTAATCATAGACATATAATTTACACAAGTCAATAAGCTTTACTCGATTTTCAATTGCGTTTTTTTTGGGTGAAATAAGTTAGGAGTTTGCCAAAAAAGTGGAAGAGGAAAAGAGTGTTTGAAATAGGCTAGCTAAATAATAGGAAAAATACCATTTACTTTAAAGTAAAAAATGTTTATCAAGCGCCTAAAATTGCCAATTTTTAGCATTTTTCTCGATTTTCAAACGCGATTTTCAGGGTGAAAGAGGCGTTTCCCCCAAATGTGTCAAAGGTAAAAAGTGCTTAAAATAGTATAATTTTGTTGGATACGAAAAAAGCAATATAACACAAGTAGTATAAGTTCAGTATTACCATAATAAGAAATAAGGGATTCTGAGATATACATATAACTTATGCTTTACTGTTAGGTTGGTTGATAACTAGGGGACGAGTTAGTTATTGTTTTATGATTAGATCAATGTACAACAATAAATTATACAACTGAGTACTTGGTATACATATAACAGTTTTAGTTGATTGATCGAGGTTTTAAATTACTTAAATAACAAGAAACTTAATATATTGTAAACAAAACACGACATCTACAACAGTGCACCGGACTTGAGTCGAACTAACATTAATTGGCTTCAGCTGTTCCATTAGGATTAGAAATCTACTATGGCATTGTTTTATCGTTTTATCTATGTCTTAATGCTGTAAAATATTAAGTACTAGCTGAGTACCCGTCCTTCGTACGGGGTTGGTATACAATGCTTATTGTAGTTAAATACTCGTGCTTTGCATTTGCAATGAGAGAGGACACGTTTTGAGAAGATTTGGGTTAGGTACTATAATCTACGGTATCCTATAGTATATAGAACATCTACCATAGCCATGATGTTCTACCACTTCATTTAAACAATAGAAAGAAGTAAAGTTCTCACACTCAGGTTTTTGTTGCTGCTTGGTTCAAATTAGCTGTTGTCATAAATGTGTAAAGAACTAATGGTTCTGCACCCTGTTGGTAAACCGTACTAGGTGTACGCTCATTCTTCCCGTATTGGGACGAAACGAAGACTGTGAATAAGGCTGCGCTGGTAAAGCCGACCAGAATACACAGTAGTAACCTAGTTGTTGTCACACATAGAAATTACATGTATACTGGATCTAGCAGTCATGGATCAGCATGGATGCTCAAACAGTGTCTTGCAGAGCAGATCATTTCAAGAATGCCAGAAGTCTTGGCGCAGATGTGGTGAATATCTGGCACAGACTCATATGACGAGTCAATAAGAACCTAGGAAATATTCAATATCCAGAGAATTGTATTTAATGCTAACAATTTTCAACTTATTCTTGGTGGGATTTGCCATCATCTTTGGTCAAGTCTTGGCTGAGAGCCTTGAGCAAAGTCATGGAGGGAAGCAACTTTCCAAAAACAGTTTTACATCGCCAGCAAACTAAAGAAAAGGGATCTTGACAACTCTCTTGGTGTCTTTAAAGAATATGTACCGGTAGAGCTGAAAATATCTGAATTTTGTTGGATGTTTTCATGATGAATATGCAACAAATTCATATTCCACCCCACAAAACCACATGAAAACCGGTTTACATGATCTAATCAAGACAGTTAGTAAAACTCAATCTTAGAGGATGTGTTTATTGTATTAAACCAAATTACAATAATAAAGTTATCAAGATCCCATGCCAACTCCTCCTTATCCTTAGTCAAATAAGGACTCAAAACTATGGTACATTCACTTATGAATATGTATTGGAAATTTTCCCTCTAACCCTTTATCAAACAATAAATGTGGTTAACTATGGTTGCTTGTTTTTTTTAGCTACGCTATTTTAAAAAGTTTCTGTTAGCATGTGTAATTAGGAGGTTTTTTGAGTAAAAAAATCCAAAAACACTCATATTTGCACCACAGCCTTCTATGAAACGGAATAATAGATACCATATGCTACTTTATGTTTTGTTGGAATTTTGAGGTTTTCAGGGTATAAAATGGTAAGAAATCAAATTTTACGCCATATAACACTCTGTATATCGAGTGTTACATGGAAAACCCGGAAAAACCAAAGTGAGGTTAACTTGATACAGTCTGACTGTTTGTGATCCTAAATAATTGATATTTTTCTAAATTTTAAACAAGTTTTATGTTAAAAATTTTGTTGTATAATCATGTTCTACCAGTTTATTGCAAATTGAGTGGATAGACTGCAGTTTTTAGTGAAAAATTTTCTTTTAGAAGCATAAAAACAGCACCACATAACCTACTAGGGAAATAATCTACATGTATGAAATAGGAGCTATAAATTAAAAGTACACTTTACCTTCTCCAGTGAATATTAACTGAACCACTGTAACTGATAAACACTGAACATCAATGTAATAATGTATTTAATTCCTTTTAAATATGAATACTCATAAGGTTAACATGGGAAACTCTAGAGCCGCTGGGGCGGAGCCCGAAAGGATTTTGTGAGGTAAGAAGAATATATTGTCTATGTTAATCGGGAATGTGAGCTATATTGTACCAAATTTCAACACAATCCGACCAGTAGTTAATGCGTGATTGAACTTCAAACAAATAAACAAACACACAAACTTTCACATTTATAATATTAGTATGATACACAAACGATCCTCTGTACTTGCCAAAAGACCCAAAGATGTTCATTATTTATCAAACTAGACAAACAGCCAGAATGAGACATACAATAATTTGGTTTGTTATTTTACTGTGGAGAGACACTTTACGAATGTACTAGTGATGTGAATGCTTTTACGCTTAAAACACTGTGAGAAGCTCTGAGAGAAACCCTTGAAGATTAACTACACAACTACGTCTGTATGGTCATTTTTATACTGACAGGAACAGAGACAAACGGCGATAACTTATAAAATAGATAACACACCTTTAGTAGATTTATCATCCTAGGAACAGCAGAAGCCAGTTAGTTTTATTGTTGGTTGAGTGAAAATTAAAAAACGTACGTTTTCAAGAAAAACACTTTATAATAACGGTTTTCTCTTTTTCGGAAAGTTTTTAATTTTTTTTTATTTCATTGCCATTTGAAGTTTCATAAAATGTCCATGGTAACGCAATATCTTTGGTGCTTTTTTTTATTAATACAGCATCTTTGACGGAAAAAGACAAAATTCTGTCACGACCATAACGAACGCAAAAATAAATATTAAAAATAGTTAATGGCATTTTTATAAATCTGTTTTGCTGTAAATAGATTTAGTTTTAAGGCCATTTTTCAATAAACAGCTCACTAAGCTTTTGGTATATTAAAAATAAAAATAACAAAATAACAAAATTGGAAAAAAGCTGAAAAAATCTCTTTAAGTTTGTATAGCTCCGAAAAAACCTTCCCAATATATGAAAACCCTTTATTTTTTTAAAGAGGCGTCCTCCTTGTGTGTATAAAACTTGGAATATGATGATATATCAATTTTTGAACATTTTATGATCCAAATTAATCATCAACGTTGGGGACAGGGACAAGTGTTATGGTCTGGAATTGGTGATTAACGAGAATCTACTCCCTCCACTACTCTGGTTATAAATAATATTCCACAAGACTTGATAAACCATAGTTAATTTTTAAAATGTAATAGTTTTACACATATAACTCCTATACACTATAAGCTTTAACTTATATGAGGCAATAAAGATACCTCTCTATGTAAAAATAGTAAAAAAAAACTATGTTTTTAAATACTTAAATTAATTGTACTGTTAAAAGAAAAAAAAATTGTTGCAATTAAGCTAAACTGTGCAATTTACAATGATATTAAAATTTACTTTCACGACCATAACACAGTACAATTGATAAAGCTATTTTGGTCATGAAATCACGCATTATTTGGCTCTGCCCTGGTGGCAGCCTTACACCTCATGTTTGCGGAGGGGGCAAAATGGATTTCTAGGTTAACGTAGCAATAAAAATATCATATCAACAAAAATTAACACCATGTCTACTTTATTACATGACTATGTACGGTCGTTGACACACCAAAATTACAAAAAGCACAAAGTTACCTATATCTATTCATCTTGTACTAAATTTTTTTACTGCAAAACTACCGGTACAACAAAACTAACGCACATCCCGAACCAGTCTCTACAACCAACTAACGTTATCATCGCTGCCAGGATTGCCACTGTTGTGTTCCAAAGTTGCAAATTGTGCCATTATGGTCGGGACGTCAAATCGAGGGACAGACCTATTTTGTCATGGTATGGTAGTTAGTTTGTAATGAAAACCAAATTATTATATGCTCATTTTTTGTAAGTTTAATAACTATTGATGACATAAAAATATGGCTTCTCACGATGGTCGTCAATTTCGAGTATTTAAAAATACGAAAAAATACCTAGAACCTACTTAAAACCAAACAAATTATTGTAACATGTTGCCCTCGTCCCAAAAAGTATTAAAAGACATAATAATATACTACAAATACAGTATCTACGAAGTAAAAGGCCAGGGACATTAAAACGTAGGTTTCAAAATTTTCACTCAGTTCTGTCCGGTGCACTGTATAGGTCGTGTTTATTTTACAATTTATTTCTTGTTATTTCAGTCATTCTAAATTAATGACATTATAAGTAATTATGAATAAAAAGATAAACTCATAAACAATAACTCATCCCCTAGTTATAGCCTATAACCAAACAGTAAAGC